GACCTTAAACGACCTCGTATTTACACCTCGACTACCCTCCAAACCCTAACGACTTAAACGACCTCGTTTTACACCTCGAACTAAACCCTAACGACCTTCGGAACGAACCTATCGTATTTACACTCGAACTACCAAAACCCTAACGACCTTAACGACCTCGTATTTACACCTCGAACTACCCATCCAAACCCTAACGACCTTAAACGACCTCGTATTTACACCTCGAACTACCCTTCCAAACCCTAACGACCTTAAACGACCTCGTATTTACACCTCGAACTACCCATCCAAACCCTAACGACCTCGTATTTACACCTCGAACTACCTTCCCAAACCCTAACGACCTTAAACGACCTCGTATTTTACACCTCGAACTACCCTTCCAAACCCTAACGACCTTAAACGACCTCGTATTTACACCTCGAACTACCTTCGTACGAACTAAAACCCTAACGACCTTAAACGACCTCGTATTTACACCTCGAACTACCCTCCAAACCCAAACGACCTTAAACGACCTCGTATTTACACCTCGAACTACCCATCCAAACCCTAACGACCTTAAACGACCTCGTATTTACACCTCGAACTACCCATCCAAACCCTAACGACCTTAAACGACCTCGTATTTACACCTCGAACTACCCATCCAAAACCCTAACGACCTTAAACGACCTCGTATTTACACCTCGAACTACCCAGACCTAAACGACTTACACCTCGAACTACCCATCCAAACCCAACGACCTTAAACGACCTCGTATTTACACCTCGAACTACCCATCCAAACCCCAACGACCTTAAACGACCTCGTATTTACACCTCGAACTACCCATCCAAACCCTAACGACCTTAAACGACCTCGTATTTACACCTCGAACTACCCATCCAAACCCAACGACCTTAAACGACCTCGTATTTACACCTCGAACCCCATCCAAACCCAACGTTATCGTATTTACACCTCGAACTACCCATCCAAACCCTAACGACCTTAAACGACCTCGTATTTACACCTCGAACTACCCATCCAAACCCCAACGACCTTAAACGACGTCGTATTTACACCTCGAACTACCCATCCAAACCCCAACGACCTTAACGACCTCGTATTTACACCTCGAACTACCCATCCAAACCCAACGACCTTAAACGACGTCGTATTTACACCTCGAACTACCCTCCAAACCCCAACGACCTTAAACGACCTCGTATTTACACCTCGAACTACCCATCCAAACCCCAACGACCTTAAACGACGTCGTATTTACACCTCGAACTACCCATCCAAACCCCAACGACCTTAAACGACGTCGTATTTACACCTCGAACTACCCTCCAAACCTAACGACCTTAAACGACCTCGTATTTACACTCGAACTACGACCTTAAACGACCTCGTATTTACACCTCGAACTACCCATCCAAACCCCAACGACCTTAAACGACGTCGTATTTACACCTCGAACTACCCATCCAAACCCAACGACCTTAAACGACCTCGTATTTACACCTCGAACTACCCATCCAAACCTAACGACCTTAAACGACCTCGTATTTACACTCGAACTACCCTCCAACCCTAACGACCTTAAACGACGTCGTATTACACCTCGAACTACCCATCCAAACCCAACGACCTTAAACGATTTACACCTCGAACTACCCTTCCAAACCCAACGACCTTAAACGACCTCGTATTTACACCTCGAACTACCCATCCAACCCCAACGACCTTAAACGACCTCGTATTTACACCTCGAACTACCCATCCAAACCCTAACGACCTTAAACGACCTCGTATTTACACCTCGAACTACCCATCCAAACCCTAACGACCTTAAACGACCGTATTTACACTCGAACTACCCATCCAAACCCTAACGACCTTAACGACGTCGTATTTACACCTCGAACTACCCATCCAAACCCTAACGACCTTAAACGACCTCGTATTTACACCTCGAACTACCCATCCAAACCCAACGACCTTAAACGACCGTATTTACACTCGAACTACCCATCCAAACCCCAACGACCTTAAACGACTCGTATTTACACCTCGAACTACCCATCCAAACCTAAACGACCTTAAACGACCTCGTATTTACACCTCGAACTACCGCGACCTAAACGAACACGAACTACCAAACCCTAACGACCTTAAACGACCTCGTATTTACACCTCGAACTACCCATCCAAACCCTAACGACCTTAAACGACTCGTATTTACACCTCGAACTACCCTTCCAAACCCTAACGACCTTAAACGACCTCGTATTTACACCTCGAACTACCCATCCAAACCCTAACGACCTTAAAACGACCTCGTATTTACACCTCGAACTACCCCCCAAACCCTAACGACCTTAAACGACGTCGTATTTACACCTCGAACTACCCTTCCAAACCCTAACGACCTTAAACGACCTCGTATTTACACCTCGAACTACCCTTCCAAACCCTAACGACCTTAAACGACCTCGTATTTACACCTCGAACTACCTTCCAAACCCTAACGACCTTAAACGACCTCGTATTTACACCTCGAACTACCCTTCCAAACCCTAACGACCTTAAACGACGTCGTATTTACACCTCGAACTACCCATCCAAACCCTAACGACCTTAAACGACATTTACACCTCGAACTACGACCTTAAACGACCTCGTATTTACACCTCGAACTACCCATCCAAACCCCAACGACCTTAAACGACAATTTACACCTCGAACTACCCATCCAAACCCTAAACGACCTTAAACGACCTCGTATTTACACCTCGAACTACCCTTCCAAACCCTAACGACCTTAAACGACCTCGTATTTACACCTCGAACTACCCTTCCAAACCCCAACGACCTTAAACGACCTCGTATTTACACCTCGAACTACCCTTCCAAACCCTAACGACCTTAAACGACCTCGTATTTACACCTCGAACTACCCTTCCAAACCCTAACGACCTTAAACGACCTCGTATTTACACCTCGAACTACCCTCCAAACCCCTTAAACGACCTCGTATTACACCTCGAACTACGTTTAAACGACCTCGTATTTACACCTCGAACTTCCGAAACCCCCAAACGAACGACCTTAAACGACCTCGTATTTACACCTCGAACTACCCATCCAAACCCTAACGACCTTAAACGACCTCGATTTACACCTCGAACTACCCTCCAACCCTAACGACCTTAAACGACTCGTATTTACACCTCGAACTACCCATCCAAACCCCAACGACCTTAAACGACATTTCGAAGACCTTAAACGACCTTATTTACACCTCGAACTACCCCCAAACCCAACGACCTTAAACGACCTCGTATTTACACCTCGAACTACCCATCCAAACCCTAACGACCTTAAACGACCTCGTATTTACACCTCGAACTACCCTTCCAAACCCTAACGACCTTAAACGACTCGTATTTACACCTCGAACGACCTTAAACGACCTCGTATTTACACCTCGAACTACCCATCCAAACCCTAACGACCTTAAACGACCTCGTATTTACACCTCGAACTACCCATCCAAACCCTAACGACCTTAAACGACCTCGTATTTACACCTCGAACTACCCATCCAAACCCCAACGACCTTCAACGACTTCCTTTTCGTCCCAGCTCGAACCCCTTCCTGTACGTGTGTCTGAGTGGCTCGATGGACACCTCAGCCATCCTGCTCATGACGCCCCTGAGCACACGCCTTGGGAGACGCGTCATCGTGGGCGGCGGGATGTTTGCGGGCGGCCTGCTCTTCCTGCTTGAGCTCCTCGTCTCGGAAGGTGGGCGTGGGTGGTTAGGTGACGGAGGGATAATTCTCTCTCTCTCTCTCTCTCTCTCTCTCTCTCTCTCTCTCTCTCTCTCTCTCTCTCTCTCTCTCTCTCTCTCCTCTCTCTCTCTCTCTCTCTCTCTCTCTCTCTCTCTCTCTCTCTCTCTCTCTCTCTCTCTCTCTGTCTTGTCCCGAGTGTTGAATTAAATCAGTCCTATTAAAAATGAATATGTTAATGAGACTGTAATAAAATCGATTTTCTAGGACTGATTTTGTTTGTAGAAAACAGTGGAATTTGTTACCTATATATTACGCTTTTTTCAGAATACTTCTGGCTTAAATGGGTGCTGGTCATGGGCGGTTTCCTCTTAGTGGCGGGCTCGTTTCAGGTGAATTGGATGTCTTAAGCAATGCAAAATGTGTCAACATAATTCTGATACTAAAATATTTGTTTTTTGGGTTCACATGCAGAAAGGGATATGGTCACGAACTCTCATGTTTTTAATATTGCTACTTTTTAAAGATATCAATATATACGCATGGTAATATCATGTACACATAAATAGGTGTTGTGTGCAAACATACATAATTTGTTCCATCTATAACATTGCCATATAACCCTTATTACCAACAGATGAATTACGTCTACGGCCCTGAGTTGTTTCCGACAGAGATTCGAAATCGAGGTTTTGCCTTTGTTAACCTCATGGGTTGCTTCGGATTCGTGTGTGCCCCTTTCATTACCTACAGACTGGCAAGTGTTTACTTACGTTTGCGAATGGACGACTGTAGCAAACATAGATATATATAAGCAACTGATCATAGAGATGTGTTTGTATTACATGAAGATAATATTCATTCCCTAGACCTAAATAGAACCATACCACCTGCACCTTCCCCCTCACAGGTGCTAATCAGGTGGTGGGTGGCATCCGTGACCTTCGGCTGCGCTGCGATAGTGGGCAGTCTCACCCTCCCTCTGCTGCCGGAGACGAGGAACAGGTCGATGCCGGACACGTTGCAGGCGCTGGACGAGAGAAGGGGCAAGCGCAAGGGAAATCCCGGAGAGACTGTGTGCGTTAATAACGAGAGTGAGGAGAGCAGATTGTGATGGATCCTCTATCTTTACTAGTATCTTTGCGAATGGGAGAGAGATGTTAAAAATGAATTGTTTCTTTATTGTCTCCCTTTATCTCTCTCTCTCTCTCTCACACACACAGGTGAAAATAAAATTATTTTTAGAACATATTGTTTTCATATCATTCACTTCACAAGAAAAGCGGAAAAGAAAAAACAGAAAATATCGTTTATCATATCAAACTGTATTTGCAATAATTTGAATGGGTAGATAAGTGAATTGCCTATCTTGGGCACATTCATCTTCACCCACTCACACCTACATACACCCACACCTCCACTCACCAGCCCACAGACGCATACAGGAAAGGTGTACGGTGAGGTGTGAGCCAGTTTATGTCTTGGTGTGAGAACAAAGATCATATATAGTTTACATGAAACCTTTTTTTTATTGTCATCGTTATCGTTATTACGATATGTCAGTACATATTGCATGAATATAAGGCTAACAAAGCGCACACTGTATACCAACGAATATACTCCTTACCTATGGAAAAGATATGAAATACATGACAGCAGTATAATTCTCAGTATTGATGTTACCATAACAATTACTTCGAAAAATATTTAATAAAAGATTCTGACAATTGCAATAATTACTAGCATTTAATTCATGACATTCCTCTCCATGTTTAGACATACACTAACAGTGATGAAGAGACGAGAATCATAATAGATTCTCTGTGTGGTCTTCTTACTGTTATGAAATAATTGTCTTTGTATGTGTGTGTGTGTTTTATGTGTCTCTGCATGAAAGTGCGTATTCCTATCAATACATCTATCTATACTTTTTCCAATATGCTACCTAATGTACTTTTTTATATAGATTATGAGTGTCTGCAATTTTTTGTATTTGAGTGAATATGCATGTGTGTATACACGAATACGCATATGTACAAGTGACATAGAAAACACATTTAAATACTTCATAGTGATTGTTATTAGCAAACCCCTATTATTTTCCTTTCTTCCTAAATACAAATAATACGGCCGTGTTGTGGCTGCCATGCTGAAGGCAACTAACTAGTGCGCCACCAGCATCTTCAGTGTTTGTCTATCCTTGGTACTGTCCACGCTGCCTATTCAACGTTTAAAAAAAACACCACTCTATTTCGGTATTGTATAGTAATTTAATGAAGGCTATTTCATCATATACTGCTTCATATCTCCCTCCATTTATAAACCTATTTATCCATATATACGTTACATCAGTGTGTTTTGTGTCAGGTTTGTGCAACTAAGACCACACAGCAGTGGCGGTGTCCAGTTACGGTACAGGAATATTATGACCGAATACAAGAGGAAATAGTGGAAATACCTGTGGCTTGTTTACTATCGACGTGGTGATTTTCGAAGAGATTGAGAAAAAGATTAATGGATGATAAGGATAAATAAGGATTGATAGTGATAGTAGTGATAATTATGGAGATAGTGTTAATGATAAAACTTAAAAATAATAATAATAAAGATAATGGTAACAACAATTAACATTAACAATAATGATAATGATGATGACAATAACATTGATAGTAATAATAATGTTAATGATAATAATGAAAACAATAATGAATAATGGTAGTAATAATAATAAAAATAATGATTATAATGATGATGGTGATGACGATAATGATAATGATAGTAATAAAAATGATAATGATATAATGAAAATGGTAATAATAATGATAATGATATAATGGAAATGGTAATAATAATAATGCCATAAACAATGATAATAATAATGATAATAGTAATGATTATTACAATAGTAATAATAATGGCAATTAACAACAATGATAAAGACAAAAAATATATAATTATGGTAATAATGATAATAATGACTGAATGATGAGCATGATATCGCAAAAGGTGACACGATGCCTTAAATGATGGTTCACGTGACAGGGCATATGTGGCACTTCAAGTATATATTACATCAACATACAATATTAATCATATGATACAGAACAGCAAAAATATATCAAATAATGTGTCAAGAATCATAATTGGACATAATGCACACAGACAATGTATCATATCTGTGCGAAAAAGGAAATATAGTATACTCTACCTCAAAACATACACTAGCACTTTATATATACAAACACTGATGACATGGTAAGGTAGTCTAAATTATCACTGGAAGCTATGTCAAAAGTTAAAACCTGCCCGTGGAAACAGGTGGCACTGCCATCAAATAGGAAATATTTTTGTGAAAAGATTATCCAGACCAAACCGGCCTCACAGTCCTTGAAAACTCACTAGCAGATATATATCCTGCTCCTTTGATACAAGGATGGGGAAGGGTAAAAGCATATCAAGACTCAAGGATAAAAATCTCTTCATTGTGGAATGTTAGAGACGTGAAGGTCATGACAAACTGAAAGTCATGCAAGAACTATTACAATAGGCTGTCTATCCAGTAGATAACTGGCAATGGTAATGCTGATAATGACAGTAATACTGATGACTATGATGATTTTACTACGACTACTATCACTACTACTGCTGCTGTTGCTACTACCACTTCTAATGCCATTGCTACTACTACTGTTACCAGGGGCGGGTCCAGAAAACTTTCTGGTGAGGGGCACGGGGAGTAACAATAAATCTGGGGGGCCGTCACATTGCATATACAGGGGGCCATTCCGAGGAGTCAATGACCATGGGGGGGGGGGGCACATGGGGTGGCCAATCGGATTTCAGGGGGGCAGGTGCCCCCCTGTGCCACCATGGAAACCCCGCCTCTGACTGTTACTGCTGCTTCTGCTGCTGTGATCACTATTACTGTTATTACTACTAATGCTACCACTACTACTGCTACGACGACTACTACTACTACTGCTTCTGCTGTTGTTGCTACTGCTAACGATAATATTATCATAATAATAATGATGATAATAATGATAGTGACTGATAGTAAGAATAGTAGTGACAAGAATCATGACAGTAATAATAAGGATGATAATAATGAAGATAATGACAGCGATATAACAATAATAATGATAGTGATGACTGATAATAATGATAATGACGATAATAATGATAGTAGTAGTGGCAATGGTGATGATGATAATAATGATGATGAAGAAAATGATAATACAAATAAAAATAATGATAATTATGATAGTAATAACAATAATGATAATCATAAACAGTGATACTAATAATAACAATAATAACAAGGAGACGCCGAAGAACCTAAAAGAATACCAACAACAACAATGGTAATAATGATGATAATAATAACACTAATAAGAAAAATGATACTACTAATGTTAACAACAATAGCAGATATGATAAAAGCAGTGATAATATAACGATAATGATAGTAATTATCACAGTATGGATAATCCTAAAAATAATTACACTCATAATCATAATAATAATGATAAAATAAAAAGTCTTAATAATAAGTATAAAAATAAAAGTAATAACAAAGATAAGAATATGGATGATATTAATAATAGTAAAATACTTATAATTGACAATGATATAATAATCATAATAAAGAATAATGTCAACAAAAATAATGACAATATATAAAATAAGAACTGTAATAATGATAATGGTAATAATAACAAAAATGATAATGATACTGATAATAGACATAGTAATATTCATTATTATACTATTACTATTATTATTATCGTTAATACGATTGTGGGCTCTAACATTGCTATCACTATTATTATTGTCACTATAGTAATGATAATGAGGAGTAATGACGAATAATATTAATGATGATAAGAATTTTAATAGCTAATAAACCAGCAAATAAATAAATATACCCAATAATTAATAGAATATAAACAGAGTAATGTAATGGTAGTTTTTTTTTGCCATGGCACGAGATAGCCTGATGCCAGAATATAGTGAAACACGTGACTGGACATGAGTGGCAAGCGAGGTGAATACATTACATATTAGGTACAGTTTATCTTACAAAACACTTGTGGACATACTATTTACTGCATAGGACACACTAGCATATAACATGCACATTTCATTTTTTGAGTCGATAAATACTTTACATCTAACCTAAACTATGCCTAACTTTACTCGATGGCCTTTTGCAGTTAAGTCTCGAACATTCGTGGGCTAGCATTTATTACTTCCGTGGGTAGCGTGTGGTCCATGATAGATCCAAATGTCTCTGATGTTGTTCAAGTTGGTGAGAGGTGTCATATACACGTGTAGTGATCTTGTTCTCTCCCTTTCTATCTCTTATTTTACGTCGTTTTCCTCTCGTTTTCGCTTTCTATTCATATCACTAATTTCCTGTTTTTATGAGGCATTCCTCTTTTTCTTTTTGCCTCTCTCTGCAGCAGAAGGACAGAAGAGAAAAGAAAGAACAGAATAACATCGAAGTGAGATGAACACTGATGGCGATGACTTCGACGCCTTACTTTCAACCCTCGGATACGGACGATGGCAAGTTCCCGGCGTGGTCGTTACATTATTAGGTAAGTAAAGATGAATAAGCTAGCGAATATCCCTTACTTTAGCATGCTAATGTCCGAGAAAATGGAGGAATAAGATTATTCCGAAATTGGGGCTAATTGTGTTGAATATCAACAGTGTTCGGATCAGTCTCTATGGGGTTTTATTTTATCATAAGTAAAGGAATGGAACAGTAGTAAAAGAAACTGTACAAGTATATTTATTTCTTAAATAATTATTACGATAACCTTGATTTCATAGCTACCCAGCAACACTCATCTCAGCTGATTGGTTCGAGTAGTGTGTTCGTTTCGCCGTCCACTTATTCTCATTAAATGAGTTCACAGTTAGAAATAGATCAGTATTTTTTCTGTAGGACAAAGCTAACAATTAGAAACACATTAAAGTTCAGTTATTTTAAAGCGTCGGCAATCGAGAAAAGACGTTAAACGTTGTTAATCACGTGTCACATCGCGGTCGAAGACAAGGACAATATCGCTTTCTAATGATAAAGAATAACACCACATCAACCAATCGTGTCCTTATTTATGGAAGAGCCGAATGGAATCGGCTATGATCACTGTTATCATAACTACCACCCACAACTGCTACTACTACTACTGCTGCTATTACTACTA